CCCCAAAACCCCAAAACCCCAAAACCCCTTTTAAAACGGAAATTATTGATACGTTAAGTTATTAAAAATGCAAAATTTTAATGGCAAACGGTCTTCGTGAACGTCCCTGATGCTGGGAACCAGCACCAGGACTGTGAAGATCATGGCCAAGGACAAGGCAAGCTCAGCTGTAAGTCAGCCAACTTGGAGATTCTCTTATCCTGACCTCTAGATGAAGGATTACTCCAGTAAAGGCACTCACAAGTCTTTAAAGAAAATCAACTCATTGAAACCTGCGGGAAGAATTTCCTCCTTCAAGAAGAGCTTGCCCAAGAAAGGAAGCAGCAAAGGTAAAATCCTAGAGAATGACTGCACTAAGGAAAATACTCTTGTTGCTTCTTCAATGGAGAAAGGTAAATTTCTGGGCGTATTGGCTTATAGACCCAGAACTTCATAGCAAAACTACTGAGTTTTCGAAGACAAGGAACATCCAGTCCTTGAAGAGTAGAAATATCAGTCCTAATTCTTTCAAAGAAATAGGTGAAAAGTAAGCTTTCAGGCTTGATTCGGCACCTAAATTGTTAAATCAGCTTAAAAATTTATGATTGTTATAGACCTGAACATGAGAAGTTTGTTAAAACTGCTTTATCAGACATCGTGGAGGACTTTAACACTTCTATCTCTAAGCTGAAGCATGAAATGACTGCAAAGATAGAGAGTCTTGAATGTCTAAATTCTGAGCTAGCCACCTCTAAAAAGTGCCACTGCTACAACCTTGTAAGTGCTTTAGAAGCAAAGGTATCAAAGCAAGGAGTGAAGATCTGTGAACTCGAAAATATGCTCATTGCTATTAATAATCCAACTAAACAGAAAGGAAGACCTAAGATAGCTGTCTCAAATCTGAAGCTTGATCTTGCTCATGAGGAGTAATGTCCAAAACATTTATACCTGTAGAGCATCTCAAAACCCTATTGATATCATCCACTTTAGCGCGGAAAAGCCGATAAAATCTCGCAATGAAGGTAAGTTTGGCTTATGAACTCTATAGTAGCCTCGAAGCAAGGTAAGGCTCCTTCATAGCAGCTTAAAGGACAGTCTAATCTTATAGTAGCAAAGATTCAATGCACCTCAGCAAGAAATGGTATGGCCTTTGAAGGCAGATCAATGTCTTTAAAGACCACATTTGAAGGCGAGCAGAGACTCTCCAACAAAACTTTAGAGATTGAAAATGAAATCAAAGAGATGAAGATTGTCCAGTCTTACGAGAAAAAGCAAGGCGTTCACAAATCAAAAGTGCCAGAGGAACCGAATCTCCCACCTGCTGAAGAGGGATACATTACCAAACTTAGGTCCTCCAGTGGTATGTCTGATAAAAGACTGACTAATTACAAGAGCATGAAGAAGTGAAAGTCTGATAAACTGATTCATTTCCCGACTAATCTAAGAAGCCATAAGAAAAGAAAGTCTAAGAATCAGTTTACTTACTATGAGACAGTTAGGGCAGCCACAAAACATGACATAGGAGTATAATAGCTTGTATTATGCTATATAGGCGAATAACAGTCATAGATGTGACAATTTTCATCCCAAAAGTGTGCAGGAGGGATCTTCAGGGAACCTTCAAGGTAGGATTATGGACAAGATTCTAAGCGTCCCTATACATCTAGCTGCAAAGCCTTCCTTAAAACCTGGGGTCCCTCAGACAATATTTACTCTCTCTAAGTCATGAGTGGAGCCTGGTCTGATCTCAGTAGCTACGAAAAGAGATGAGGATTATTAGAACTATGCTGAAGGTATCAATATTTATTTTAAATAAAGGGGTTTTGGGGTTTTGGGGTTTTGGGG